CTGTATTAAGTAAGTTTTCGATTTGAAAAAAAAAATGTAAGCTTTTTATTATCGCCGAGACGAGTAAGTGGGTTCAACTCTTCACATTTTAGGATAAAAAGGGTCATTTTGTGATTTACATAAACATCGAGACGAGTTTTGAAAAAGGTCCAAAACAAGCACTGGATCAATCTATGGACCTGATCTAATTTTACGTGGATTTCATTTCTTAAGTTTCGTGTCCAGGTTAAGCTTGGTTGACTATTTTATTTTTTATTAGATTTTATAAAATGGCATCAAAAACCTTAATTCTTTTTCCATTTTAATCTTTGACTGAGTGGGGCAGATATAACTTGTTAGGCCACGTGACATGGTTTGATACATAAGAAAGGATGCATAAGAGGATATTGGAAAATAAATATTTTTACCTGCAGTATGCAAATTCAATGGTCGAGAAATGTAGCTTGACTTTCAAACTATGAACTGCTTTTACTCGTGAAACCCGATGTGGATATGACATGAATACTGTTATCATGTGTTGGAGACAAATCTTAACGCTGCACCATAACTTATAACTCGGTCGATGCTCTGTTTATTTTTTAAGATACACTAATTTTATTATCTAAGAAGTAGCAACTCTTAACATGTGAAAAGTACGTATCATGAATCAATATATCATAACTCGTGCAACAATTAACAATAATCCATAAAATAGCGCCCCCCCTGGCTTTGCGAAATCTAATTACCAATGTCTAATTAAGGGATCAACAATTATATTCATGGTCCAAACTTTTACTTTTTCATATTATAAGATATTTTTAATTAAATTATATTTTTTAATAAATTAGTTAATTATTTTTTAAATTACATACTCTTTTAATGTTTACTCTTATATTTTATTAATTACACCTTGAATTAATGATATTTTTGAAAAAGTATTATTAATTTTATTTTAAAATATTCAAATTGTTTTATATTTTGAAACATAATATTTTAAAAAAATATTTTATAGTATTAAAATTATATGTGTTTTCAGTGGTGGAGACAGGATTATGGGTCCAGTGGCAGTGGTAAAACTAGCTAGGATTCTTAACACACATACACAAAATTTTGTTCCTTTCAAATTCATTTTTTTTTTCCTTCTTTCCTTCCTTTTGTTTTTTAATTCAACTTTAAGTTGAAAACATACAAACACCGTGAGCCTATGAAAATATTTAATGAGTTTATTCTTGATCTTTAAATTTTTATCTTTCATCACCTTTTTTTTTATTAGTCCTTAATTAACATTCAGGATGAGGACGATGTGGGTGATTTTAGTTAAATTAATTTTTTTAATTATTTAAAAGATTAATAAATAATATTAATATTTATGTATAGTGAAATTATAAGCTAATATTTATTGAATTTTAAGTTAAAAAATTGAATAAATTTAAATTAAAAAGTAAGATTAAATTAGGTTTAAAATTTAAAATATTAAAATAAAGAGACGTAAAATATAAGAAATAATTGATGTAAATTGTAAAATAGCACAATACATACCCAGTGAGGGGGCCTCAAATGCACGTGATTCTGCCATTGCGTGTTTTTTTATGCTCAAAATGTGTTATTCGTTTCATGTGACTTGTACATACAATTTTTCCCCAATTTAACGGCGCTTTAATAAGTCAGAGCTTAATGGATGAACCACAAGAGCAACAAGCCATGCAACGTGGCCTCCGTGCTTCGATAACCACATGAATGATAGATGATGCATCGCTGTTTATCTGATTGCAGCTACTCTATCAACAAGTTTTTCATGAGATATTTTACACTTTAGATTACACATAGAGAAATCCAGTATTTATAAATTATGGATAGCGTGTGCATATATATTCAGATTTTATATACAGTCACTTGTTTATATATTGTTTTTTAATCCATTTTAATGCATTTCAATTTAATCTAAATCAAAAGGGCAAGGACAAACTTTAAATATTAAAATGATGTGTAGAGTGATCAAGTGAGTGCAGTACAAATGGTAAGGATTTGGACCATTTTATGCGTTATCCTATGAATTCATTGCTGGAGGTGTCATTTATTAGGAGAGGACAATTCCTTATATGACACTTAAATTCTTATAATAATTAAAACTGGTAATATGGTTCAATTCATGACTTGCAGCTAACCTGTAGTAGGTTGTGAGTTTGGCAAGGCTAGTTGATATGACCCATATCTTATAGGATTATATTTCTATCAACCCACAATAGGCACTAACCTATCAATAAAAAAATATTTTTATATACATTTTTTAACTTTAAAAATTATAAAATTATCATAACATTGGAAGTTTCATCTATTATTAATTATTAGCACTAGACAATTAAACATGAAAATATAATTAACATGTAGAAGTCTATAAAGTAAAATTAAATTTGATATTAATTTGAGTAAAGGTCAGCGGGCTAATTTCTTTTTTTCGCTAGCTAAGAAATTTTGAGTAATGTAATGACAAAGATAATAGAAGGGAGAAAAGTTTAGATTTGTTCATAATTTAATAGCTAGTAACTTGTAATTCAAAAACTGTTGAATAGAATTTGAACGTTGATATATAAATCATTTCAAATGACTATAAAAATGATTTATATACCACTCGAGATGACACTACTTTAAATAGTTTCACAATGATAAAGAGTTTGAAACCCACATAACCTTAAAAAAGAAAGATAGCTATATTTCTCATGTTTATTTGAAAATATTTTACATAAATTAAATTGTGAAAAAAGTCTTTAGCTAGATTCATGCTACATTAATGCACTCAATTGATCATGGATTCATAGTCAACTAATTAAATGTGACAAGTAATAAAGATAATAAATAATAAGCACATAATTTGAATTATTTTAATAATTTAGATAATAGCAAGGATTTGAAAATTGAGAGAATGATCCTATGATTTTTTTTTTTAAGCGAGCCAACCCATGGGTTAGCTCTTCCGAAGTCTAAACTATGTGAGATGGGCCAAAACTGCCCCACACATAAATAAAGTCACTTTTGTTCAATCCAATATATAGATGCCATGGGTTAAAAAAAAAAAAAGAAATGTGGATTATAAAATTGTAAATAATATTTGAGAATTTAAATTTTTTAATATCTCCCCATCTGAGAAATTATATGTATGTTATGCGAAGAAGGCTTATTTACAAAAAAAGCCTTAAAAAATTAAAAAATTACAATCAAGTATCTTAAAACTTGAGTATAATTTAAAATTAGGGTGCATTGTAATGTATGATTGGCTTAATAATTGAATATGTGAAGTTATAATTGTAAAAAAATATAAGTAACAGTTATAAATTATTGATAAAATAATTGTAAATTATTTTATTGATGTAATATATTTTTAATATAGATATTATTGTTTTTGCATCACATTTTCAAATTATATTCGGATGTCTTGGAACTTAATTATAGTTTTAAAATTTGCCAGAACTTATTTATAAATAAGTTTGCTCTAAGAAATTTATACATAATTTTTCATATGCGCGTGTGTGTTTCACGAGTGGTTTTTTTTTTTTTTGTCATTTGTAAAATGTAATCTTTAATGTTCACAACAAGTCGTGCTATCATAATTTTTTAAATTTTTTTCTCGAGGTTTATTGTATTTGAAGGATAAACAAGAGGACAACTAACAACAGGAAAAAATAAAAAGAAATCAAACAAAATCGCCAAGTTTAAGAGGGCCTGATGAAAAAGAAAAGGTAAAAACGACCTCCAAGTCATATTGAAAAAAGTAGATGTTAGCAAGACCAGATAGCGAAGTTATGTCTTGTAACAGCATCCCCCTTCTTTGAGGCTGAAGTCCTTTGAAAGCCAACAAGCCCAGTGGGAGCAATGATAGGCCATTTGTTAATCATGTAGTTCTCGGTCTAGCAGAGTGCAGCCCTAATGGAAGCAAGAGGATCTTTGCTAACATTTTGTATGTCTAAGAAATTCTTCTTCGAAATTTCCTCTTCCCAATCCAAATTCCTCGTCTAAAGACGTTCCGGATTGAAGGTAAGCTTAGGGCTTTCATATTGCGATCCATCACTTGGTGGGTCTCATCTTGACGGGGTTTAATGATGGTTTTAAAAAGCAGCCGTATTTGATTTCATTTAAAATTACTGTAAATTTAACTTTTAATATGGATATGGATTTGATTCAACACACTTCGATAAATCACATCACAAAATGTAAAATTTCTATTCATTTTAATTATTGTACTTGTATATTGGTAAAAAAACTTTTTTTTTTTGCTAGATAAATGTAGATCACATACTCATATTTATATATGCCTAAATAGATCAGATGCATCACATCATTTATAATCTATTTAATTAAAATATTTTAAGTAATTTAAATAAAATTTTGTAAAACATTTTTTTAAATTGATTTTTTTTCTCTCTACTATTATTTATATTAAAATTAATTTATATTTAATATCATATTTTTATTAAATAGACCATAAGTGATATGGTGATCCACTTAAGTATTTCTCATATATAATATAAAAGTTTCTAAAATAATTGATATTTTTATGATTTTATATACGTGTATGTGTGTGTATTGAATTATTACTGCTCGTATATAACTTGCATCGATATAAATTTTTTTGTTTTAAAAGGCTAGGGTTTCATTTAATTTCATGAGAAAATTTTTAAAAGAACGAGAATACGAAAATAATTTAGAATGAGAAACAAATGATAATAAGTTTTAAAAATGATTTATATGGCCAAAATTTTAAATAAAATCATAATAAGAAATTTTATTTGGCATGAAAGATTTTTTTTTTATACTATCTGGCTCGGAAAATTTGGGTTTAAAAAAAGGATAATATTCTAATACGATCATCCCGTAGCACTAAATAATAATATCATTTAACTATATAAAAAAAATTAAAAGTATCAAAAATATTAGTAGTACTTTTACAATACTATTTTAAATTAATAAAATGATAATTATTTTTCGACCCATACGTAATTCTCCCTAAAATTAACTAAACACCGACATAACACAATATCGTAGCAAGTAGCAGATCCCTTCTTCGTCGACGACCAAGCATTCCACACTCCGTCGGACGCCGTCCGCTGTTGTCAGCCCTGCGTGGTTGTTCTCGAGTAAGTAGTGAAGAAGGTTCGAACTCTAGGGCTTTCCCGAAATCCGGCGAGATTGATCTGTTCAATCTGGCTTGGAATCTAGGTTTGAGTTTATTCCCCGAATATCTGTTCCCTGCGTGGTTGTCCGTGCTTTGTTTTAATTTTTTTCATTTAAATTCGGCTTTGAATCTGGTCGTGTTATCATTTGAACATTGACGCTTTTAGAATTACGGAATATTTACAGGCTGAGTTTAATTTATATTTTTGTTAGTTTTAGCTTCAAAGTCATGTAAGTGGCTAGTATACTTCAGCCCTCTTCATTTGATTAACTAGAGTCTTGTATGCTTTGGATTGTGTTGTTTGCAACCTTGGATTTATTGTGTACTGGCATTCTGTTTATTAATATCTTTGTATTATCATTGATTTAGAAAATTCTCAAGGTAACAAAATAAGGGAATATTCTGAGTTTTTTGCTTGGATTCTCTACTCTGCCAGCTCTCTTTGTTTGATTCTGTGATAGTTTTGAAGCATTATATTATATGTATTTAATTTATCGAATTTTTGCCCGTGTTTTTGTGATTTGGTTGTCAATGATGAAGCTGAAATAGTTTTAGCTAGACATTGCTTATCGCTTAAACTGTTATTTAAGTTATCAAAATAAGATAGAGTTATGGCTATTTTCAAGATGATGTATTGTCCAAAATGCGTTTAAGTGGATTTCAATAATTCACTCACGTGTGAAGATTAGACAGACTCTTTGATTAATTGCTTTAAGGATAATTTTTCGTAGACTGTTTCTTGAATTATTATATTATGGTATTGCCGTTAATTAAAAAAAAAAAAAAGTTTGGCAATGCTGAGTGAAACGTAAACGTTGATGAATTAAGAGGGCAGCATATTTGCTGGCAAGAGCTGGTAAAATTTTAGCAGATTGTTGGATGCTAATTTTTTCTGTCTTCTAAGAATTCATCAAATCATGTCATTAAGGCTGATCTCATGGTCCACCATGGTCAGACCTGTTACCTCTGACCAGATTTCTTTTCAATTCACTTAAGGGGGGGTAATTCTGTGATCTTGCGCTGAATCTAGGAGTGTGGAGAATAGAGCATGCCTCGTAAAACTAGTTGCAGAGCCCCAAAGAAGTCTGGAAATGACTCAAATTTAAGCTTACCTTATCCAGAAAAAGAGTATGCGGCCATTTTTTATGTAAATTTCTGTTTTATGATTCTACTAATAGTTTGCTGCACTCATAATGGTTTTTGACTTTTTATTCTTTGTTTTGCTGCTTCTGTCGCCATTCTCTAACAGCTGTTATGAAGGAGAGCGTCTCACCAATTTGTTGCAATCAATTCATAGGTAACATTTTTCCAAATGCACTGCTTCATATTTTGATTCCAGTTATACTTATAATCTGTAATTATCTGCAAGCATCATTTGCTTGATGATGTTGTTCAATGAAGCAGAATGAAAAATCAACATTTTGATGACTGAACTGTATCTCTTTTGTCCAACTATCAATTGACATGCTTTTTTTCCCTATTGATTTCTTAATGAAGATTCTGGTGGACAGGGAGATCAAATCAGCGAGAACAATCGATGGAAATTCTTTACCGGAGAAAATATGGCTAAAGGTATAACTTCTAATTAGCTTAGGCGAACTGCAGAAAGCTATGATCAATATTGGAAGGAAATTTGCATAGATATATAACCTTTTTGTGATTCCACCAGCAACAATTTTCTGTGGGCGTCAACGATGTTACCCGTGTTCTTGAGCGCATGACACCATGTACTGAACTGCAAAGCTCTTCTCAGCTCTCTCCTTTAATCAGCTGCAGTAACAGAGCATCTTCAGTCAAGCTTCAGGTTGGCCACCTCTGTTTTTCTAATTTGTAATTAAATTATTTTTTCAGTTATTTACTTGTATAGCACCTGTATTATTGTTTAGTTTTCAGTAAGCAACCGTGTAATTATCACGGTAATTCATCCCATTATGTAATTCATCACTGTGCAACCTCTATTTTCATCACACATTAAAATTCTATTACTTGACTTTTAAAGCATGGGTAACTATTGGTATGAATGAATATCTTTCTCATGATCACTTATAACCTTTCTCCTGTCAAGACTTGTACATTTTTTTGACATGATTATTATCACAGAAGCCGAAAATAGACATTGCATTCTGATATGCAGGTTGTGCTAGTAGCTTTTGACTGTAATCCACGATGGCTGGTAAAGCATCTGCCAAGCTTGGCTTCGTCAAGGAAAGTGCCCCTGATCTTCGTTAGAGATAACAAAAAAGGTTCTTTGAGATTAGGTGAACTTGTAAATCTGAAAACTGCTATTGCTGTTGGCGTCAAGGTTGTGGCCCTCTTCCTCGACTACTTATATTTTGCTCATACGGCATGATCGTTGTTAGATATTAACTTATTTCTCCTCCAACGGACGCAGGCTAGAGAAAACACGATCAACAAAGTCTTGGAGAAAATCCTCCAACAGGATGGAGTTGAAGCTGGACCTGATTGTCCAAGTTCAGCTGAAACATCTGATGCGTAGTAGGCTCTTGGTCAGAGAAAATCAAATTTTGCTAGGTTTTAATCTCAAAAAAAAAAAAGTCTTCCAGACTTGAGTCTAAGTTGCAGCGTAAGTGGCCTTTTCTTCTCGTCACATTTGTTAAAGAAAATCTAATTTTAAAGTACAAGGCAGAGTTCGTATAGACGAGCCTCAAAGCCGGCTCCATTTTAAGCATTTTATAATTTCTTGGTGTGCTCTCCTATGCTATAGGTGAGGTACCTTATGAAATGCTTATCTTTACATTCAACATTTAGCTAGCCTAGCAATCAGAAATATACGTCACAGTAATGGGTTTCAAGAGCTTGACAAGATGTTCAGGAACAGACACTTGATGTGGAAGGCTATGCAGCGCTGACTGGATCAGGGTTAGCATTTCCCCGGCCACGTGCTTTAGGTTTAACGGATTTCTGCTTCTCCATTTTTTCCTCATCTTGCTTTACCAGCACTGGTTGGAACTGCCAAAATTAAAAAGAAAATAGGGAAAATGGAAAAACCTTGGTTATTTGATTGTAATAATGTCAATCTAAGGCGGAAAAATCTGGAGCTTAAAACAATATCCAAATTCACACCTGATAGATAGAATATATAACATTCCTTCTTATCTGCGCCATCATCTCTAAGAAAAGGTTGTAGCCTTCAAGCTTATACTCGATGAGTGGGTCCCGTTGCGCATAACCACGTAACCCTACGGCTTGCTGAACAAATTTAAGTGCTTGCAAATGTTCCTTCCACAGGCGATCGATGTTGCTCAAAATGAGGAACCGCTCAGCTTCTTTCATCAATCCCGGAGCTTGTTCCTCCACAATATCCTGTGGCAGCAATTCAAAAATTGACGGCGAAATGGGGCAATTTTCTTTTTATAACAAACTATGGAGTGATCTTTATTCAAACTTATGCTTGATAAGCGAATAAATTAACTGACCCTTTTCTGCAAATAGGCTTCACGGCCGCGAAGTCGGAGATAATTCTGTAATTCCTCATAATTTGAACATTTGATTGTCAGCAAATCAGGGCTCAAATCATTTAGCAGGTAGCAATATCTGAAGAATATTTACCCTCCGTTAGCAAGCTACTAGCGCCAAATTAAACCAAGACATCACTTGCCAACACAGCAGCTACTATGAAGGACGACAATAGTTTCCAAATCAAAGATGATTCAAGAATATATAGATCATGTATGAATATGCCTGTAAGGGCAGAATCAAAGCTCCGCATAACCAAAATAAGGTTCCACTTACTGCTGAATTTTGGCAACGAGTTTTTCAAGATCCCAGCTTTCTTTTGGAGCACCGGAACCAATGTTGGCCTAATTCAACACAATACTAATCTTAAAACTATTCCAGATCTAGGACGTAATAATGGCACACCTCCATGGGTATTTATGAAAAAAATGGTTAAAAGCAAAACGTACCTCTAAAATGTCATCCATTGTCAATTCTGCATATTCAATAATAAGAGACTGCAGATCCTCAGATTGAAGGGCTCGCCTCCTCTCGGTATAAACACGGTCTCTTTGGCTGTTAAGGACATCGTCATACTCAAACAATTGCTTCCGAATATCAAAGAAGTAGTTCTCCACTTTCCTTTGAGCTTCATCCAATGCTTTGGTCAGCATCTTGGACTCAATAGGCAGGTCTTCAACTCTGAAAGCTCGCATTAAACCCTACAGATCAGATCACAATATTGAAAACATCTTAGCAGTCAGATCAAGGATAGCAGCAAACACCAAGAGCAGTCACCAGAATACCTGAATTCGGTCTCCACCAAATATCCGAAAAATGTTATCTTCAAGACTCAGGAAGAAGCGTGAACTTCCTGGATCTCCTTGTCTTCCACTTCGGCCACGCAGCTATAAGGATACAAATTGAAACTTCTAAGATACTTCCTCTGTAACATTGTTTTTTGTAAAAGGTGAGGATGGAGAGGGCATAAGAATCTAGGATGGGTGAGAAATTTGTTTATTTCTTTATTTTTTGAAAAAAAAAAAGGGAATAGGCAGGCTGTACAAGCTGTTCTCCTCCCATCCTTGCCCCCCGCCCAAAAAAAAAAAAAAATGACATAGTGAACCTGATTATCGATTCGCCTCGATTCATGGCGCTCTGTGCCCACTACATGCAGTCCACCAGCTGCCACAACCTGCAGCCATTATGATAATTAGAAACACATCAAAATAAATCAAGTAAATTATCTTTTAAGCGACAAGCTTACCTGCTTCCTCTCTTCCTCAGTGAAGACCTTGTACTCTTTAACAATTTCTAGAAAAGCACTCCGCAGCTTAGCAATGACTTCATCCTGTGCAGGACCCTACATAAATATTATACGATGCTAGCATTTTGGTTAACATGATAAAAAACTGCCAGAAATTTGAGTTATGACGGGAGAATCATCATATACCAAAAAAAAAAAAAAAAATTGAATAAATTACTGGTCCCATCCTTAAAATTAAAGATTACTAACTTTTCAATTTAATCCCTCAATAATTTTCATTTTTCAACCAATCATTTTCTTTGGTGGAACAAATAAAGAAGATATGTCCATGACTTTCGCAGATGAAGGGACAAAAATGATTGGGAATAAATGGAGGGAGGGTTTCACTTTGAAGGACCAAGTCAAGAAGTTCATATCTTTCAGGGATAAAAACTGTAATTTATTCTAAATTCATCATTCAGGCCTTCTAATTTCTTAGTATTAGTTCGATAGAAAAATCAATCATCGTCAGATACTGTCACCTTCTCACAAGAGCATGATAGGCGCTCCTCTGCTTCAAGCTCGGTCAATGATCTTTGACCCCATGTTTTAACAGCTAATTGCACAGCCTCCTCAGCCAACTTGGTATTTTTATCTGATAGTTTGCACGGGAACAACTTCTCATTCACCTGGAAAATGGTATACTTGAGTTGCAGACCAGGTTTTAAATTATAGCTTCTTAAGAGCAGTGTTGTTAAGCAGAAGGTAATTAATTATAACAAGAAAACCAAATTCCATACCTTCCATGTCTTCACGGGAAGAGGTTTCTTTACTGATACAAAGACTCCTTCAGCTGGCTTGACAACCCTGCAATTGTGGTCATATAAAAAATGTAGCGAACCTTTCAAGATGGTGACAACGAAAACTTCAAGCTCAAGGAATACAACTAAGGAAATCCCGTATTATGACTAACTAAAGACTATGTTGCCTCAAGTAATAACATTACCGTGGCATCAGTATATCACGTAGCTTTAATCTTGCCATAAATTCAGCATTACCACCCAGAATTATATCTGTTCCACGACCAGCCATATTGGTGGCGATTGTTACAGCCCCAAAACGACCACTCTGTGCTACAATTTCTGCTTCTCTCTCAACATTTTCTGGTTTTGCATTAAGAACCTTTAAACAATACATGTTTCATTAAATTCATAAAAAATGATAAAAAAGATTATGGGATTAAGCTTCACTCACGTCCTTTCACATTGAAGATTGGTAAGTCAATGTTAGCAACAATTGGCTTTAGTTAGGCAATAGTTACATGAAAAATCTAACTTATCCAAAGAAGTTATAGTTAAACCAGGTTTCATTTGGAAAATAAGTCTTCTAATGTTTGGCTGACTGGCCACAAAAGGAAAAAAAAAAAAAAAAACGGAGATCTCACCTCATGCGGAATTCCAGCTTCTTTCAATTGTTCAGACAAAGAATCACTCTGTTCAACACTGGTGGTGCCAACAAGTACTGGGCGACCAGTTTTGTGCATTCTAGAAATTTCCACTACGACTGCCTGCCACTTACCAGTTGTTGCCCTAAAAACAACATCAGACTCATCCTAGGAGTTTCACCCAAAAAAAAAAAAAAGATACAATCAGGAGATATAAAATCAAAAAATTTACTAAAACAATTTTTAGCATGTAATGGTTCCAAATGTTAGTGATGGATCATTTTTAAGGGATTTTATCCACCCCTACTCCCTTCTTTGCATGAGTAGAATAGGGGGGAGGGGGGGACTACTGTTAAAAGTTTAACTTTGCCTGAGTGACCAACAGTACATAAAGTGCTTCATATAGATGATAAACAAGATAAAACCTTTCTTATCATAGGCTTATTTGTTGGTACAACTGTAACTTTAAGCTTGTAAATGCTCTCAAATTCTGTGCTCTCGGTTGCTGCAGTACCAGTCATTCCACAGAGTTTTGGGAACTGTAAAAATAAATATTTACATGGATCGCAATAGTGACTAAAGCAAATAAATTATCAAATGATTACTGGTTCAATCAATTCAGAAATAACATTTCCCAACCTGCAGAAAGAAATTCTGATAACTAATTGAAGCCAGTGTCACAGTTTCATTTTGAATGGGCAGCCCTTCCTTTGCTTCAACTGCTTGGTGAAGTCCATCACTCCACCTTCTACCCTACCAATCAAGTAAATAAAAATACTTGAGACTTGGGGGACCAGCAGAGTTTTGCTCCCCTTTTATAATCTGAGCACATGGAATACTCATTATCTTTTATTCACCAGCAAGAACAAGGTAAAAAAATATAATTATATGCCCACCACTTGCTTGTTAAGCATGAGGCTGCGCATGTAACAAGTAGCATGGGCCAGAGTTTCCATTGAGAAATAGTTTGTCTTTCATGGAAGGAGGAAAACTATTGTTCAGGTGAAAACAAATTAAATTAATTAGTTTTTCTTGGTCAAAATAGTATGTGTTGAATCTTCAACCCACATTGGGTGGATTTTTATTAAAACAATCTTGCGAGTATTAACAAGGCCAATTTATGATTTGCTTGAACAACTGGATCAAAGATTTTACGGGCATGTTATATCAATCTTTAATAAGTTTAGATAATGATGGTATTGCTATTACAGGAAAATTGTCACAGCTTATCCAGTGGAGGGTACATTAAGAATTTGATGTTCTTTTGTTTGCCAATCATAAACTGCAATAAAACATTGGCATTATTCATAATTTTAAATAGATTTCTGATGATTAGCAATCTTTGAAAACAAGAAACGTCAAGATTATGAGTATAGCTACACATAAAATGCCACTCAAGAGAATGCTATTTTCATAGACCTTCCCTTCACCAGTTGTTTGTTTGCTAAAATAAGGTCTAGTACAATCTCTAAATATAATCATTGTCAAAATAACTTAAGGAAATAGAAAGTAATATCACTTTCAAAAGAAAAGCATTTATGTAACACCAGGATAAATATAAATAAGGAATTCTCAAGGATCACCACTTGACATCACATGAATTATTAAGCTGCATGGAAAATTCTGACATGTGTACCTTATCGAAACAAGCCCAAACTATCAGAGAAAAATGTTAATATGAGAATATTGATTACAAAACAAAATACCTGCATAACTCGCCCAGTAAATTCATCCACAATTAGGACCTCTTTTCCACGAATTATGTAGTTTACATCTCGAAGAAATAGTTCTTTGGCTTTTATTGCATTTAGGATATACAAAGCCCACTGTTCTCGAGGATCATATAAATCTTTAACACCTAAAATTTCTTCAGCATCTTCATAGCCCTGTTCAGTGAGTAATACAGTTTTTTGTTTCTCGTCCACCTACAAGAACAATTGTATAAAAGAAAAATTATACTACAAATATCCACCGGTAATAAAACATGCGTCCACTCTGTTTAGCAAAAATCAAAATAAATTATAGTCATAAATTTAACTCAATGCTTGAATTTCATTTAGCCACCTATAAAGGCAAAATAAAACGTTCAGCAGTTTCTAGAAAAATTCACATAACATGTTATGTTTTTGATTCTATGCTTATCAGCATCAAATCTTAATAGTTCATCCACATGTGAAATTACACAAGAACCACTCTGCTAACAGTCTCAAGGTGAGCAGCTAAAGTTAACCAGCAAAGATCAAATTTTCCGTTAACACCAGAATAGCATTTCATTCTGTAATATTTATACAACCCTATTCCTAATAACCAATTTAACGTTTTTGGTTTCTAGCACTAACAAATCTAATAAGCAGACCAACTTAAGATAGCTTATCAAACAAAAAGTGAGCTGAGCAATGTACAGAGAGAATTTATCAATTACTAACTTGATAAACCCTCAAATGATATCAATTATAGATACTTCGATAGGTACAGTGAATTTCCACATATATCCACGACTTAGCAGCCTTACAGTGTAATGTATCTCTTGTTCAAAGGCTGTTGCGATCTTTGCAGCTCTATAATATCGATCACTGGGTTTCTCTGCAGGTCCTGATATAATGAGAGGAGTTCTAGCTTCATCAATGAGAATAGAATCAACCTCATCAATGATACAGTAATTAAAGCCCCTTAAGACAAGCTCCTCTACATTCTGCAGATTGCACAAATTAAAATTCAGCATGATATGAATGAGTTCAAGCCAATTTGTACCAAGTACATACTAAATGAAACAATATGTAAAGGAAGAATCACTTTCCGTGGCAAGGTTGTCTCTTAAATAATCAAAACCAAGCTCACTATTCGTCACATATGTTATATCACATAAGTAGTTTTCCCGTCTTTGCTCACTTGTCATATTCTCTGCCCAAGAAACAAAGCTATGTTATGCCACAAAGATATAGTTCAAAATGCTGTTAATAATGAAGAAATTCAATGACTAAAGAGAGGGCCTTAAAAACCAAGGCCAAGTTACATCAAGGATGAATGGACTTAAATTGAGAAATGTCAATAGAGACAAGCAACACAATAGTGAACATAATCTTGGCTGAAAATCGGTAAATTAGATTTTTTTTTCCCCAAAAGAACATATTTATGCAACAATAAGAGGGGGAACTGAGGAATAAGACATACGTTGGATGAGGCCAACCTTCAACCCAAGAAAGCGGGGAACTTGACCAACCCACTCACAATCACGTCGAGCCAGATAATCATTGACAGTAACAACATGAACACCATTCCCACTTAATGCATTTAAATAAGCTGGCAAAATAGCAACAAGGGTCTTCCCTTCTCCGGTCCTCATTTCAGCTATTTCTCCCTTATGGAGAACCATGCCACCTATATGACCCAAATACCAAAAAGCAATAAAATTTCCTGTCATGGATACATAATAAACAAAGAAAAACTTATTGTATCAATAGCATGGCTGTAAAAACTATATATGATATTGATGGAGTTGAAACCAAAAGTGATTCTTGTGTGCTTAAAGAAGCATAGTTCTTCCCCCTCATAGGCTAGTTTTTTGCCCCCCGGGGGGGGGGGGGTTTTCCCTTCATGATTATTTAGGTTTCCATCAATTGATATCAAAGCTAGACCAACCTCTGCAAAAAGGGCTATTTGCAAAAGGTGCAACCTAATGGCCAGAGTGAGAGCAGCAAAGTGCAGCCAAAGGGACCCAAAAAGGTATATATAGGCTGCATTTTGTGTAGCTGTTGAGTTCCTGCTATGAGCTTCAGTTATTTATGACCAAAATGAAGATTTTGATGTTTACAAGAAAAACTAATTCTTAAAAAGATTTTGTACCAGAACTTCAACGAGCTGTAACTAAATGTAAATTTGCAACAAACCATACATGACATACCTATTAGTTGGACATCAAAGGGTCGAAGGCCCAGAACCCTCTTTGAAGCCTCTCTTACAACAGCAAATGCCTCCTGCAAGAGTCTTATTTTTTTGTCACTTAACAAAAGCAACACATCTGTATTATCGTTTATATAATAAAATGAGAATCAATAACAACAGCTGCAAGCGAACTTTTTGGATTAGGACTGACTTATCCCATGCTCTACCACTATCATTTCCAGGAAACGATGAAAGGCAGCGAATGGAAGTGAAACAAATTTTCCACCCTATGCTGCATCTGTTCCCCACGGCAAGTGAAAACAAGTCAAGCTTCCAATTCTACCTAAACTACCCTGCAATCTTATTCCTAGAATTCCAGGTATGTCTAGGAAAATACGAGGAAAGCGTTAAAAGAAAAATCATGATTTTACACTCACAGGAAGGAGAGAATCCAAAGTTTCGCCCTGTTGTGCCCGTTCTCTCAATAGAAAAGTTTTCTCCCTCAGTTCCGAATCCGACAAAGCGGACATCTTCGCTTCCAATCCATTGATGATGTTAACAGTTGCAGCATATTGTTGCCTGGTCGACTCTCCGGTATCGGCACCTTTAAAAATCCCGCCTAATAAGCCTCCAAGCGAAGCTACCACACGCATAGACCGCGTTCTACTGCTAGTGCTTCCCTTAGTCGACGCTTTGGATCTGGAAACCAACATTCGAAGGTGTTCTATACCAAGAAAATAGGAATCTGATAGGCTTTTCTGGTAATAGCATTTCTGTCTCGTCGAAGTATTAGAAACACAAGGTATGGCGGGGTAATGCTTCGCCAGAGGCGTGTTACAAAGCGAGGTTGCCATGATTAGCATGAATTAAGAGCGTTAAGTTGAGTGTCCGACTTCTGAAGAAATTTGTCAACGCCGAAGCTCCTAATTGTACGTACTTGAATAAGTTCATGCTCTATTGGTCCGACTGCTAAAACCAGCAACGGAGTGCACCCCCACCTTCTTATGGATATTGGTTAGCAAGGGGGCAACCCCAAATGGGATAAGGTAGCGGCAGATCATATGCATGAAGGTCTATGATAGAAGCATGGAAATGCGCACCGTTTCACAGTTCATCTCCGCCGAGACCTGGAGTGCTGAAATAATCTCGAATCCGTCAAGTTCAGGCCTTGCCTTCTCGAGTCGAGGCCCAGTCTACCCACGAGAGATTCTAGTTTCAATTTCTGTCAAATGAAAAAATCGAGATACAGCGGCTAGCATAAAAGCTAATGACAAATTAATATTTAAATTTGTGCTAGGTGAAATGCCCACACAATTAGATTGCCTTCAGGAGGAAACCAATGAATAATAAATTGAAATACAAGAGAAATATTTTATGTGTGTGTGTAAAAAGTAGAAATACAATTAAAATATGGCCCGGCAAAAAATGGAAAGAAAGGTGGTGAGAAATATGAACATCTTTCCCCTATTTACTCGATTAAATATATTGCATGAGGTTTGGGATATTATCTCGGTGGATGATGCCAACATGCTTCTTGTGGTAGGTTAACTGGAGACCACGAAGGGAAACGGAGACCTGGCCTTACAAAAAAAAATTTGGCTAATAGAATTCAAAAAAAGGATAGACTCGATTCTCATGGGTGATGAGGGATGAGGGCCGGGCAAGCTTAATTTTTTATTTTTCACCTCTTTTTAAAAACTTAATTTTTATTTAAAGAGCTTAAAATCAAGCCGGCAAGCTCTATTTTAAAAACAGTAAAATAAAATTATAAATTATAAATTAATTAAAATATTTTAAAATTTTAAAAAGATCTCATAATTTTTTACAAATTAAACAACACATAGTTAAAAGTTAGTAAAAAATTCAAATCTTGATTAAAAAAATAATTCATTTTTTATAAATGCACAAACATAATAATTATAGAAAAATAAAAAATATTAAAAATTTTATACTGTACATTGATATTTATTAAATTATAGTAAATTAATTTTAGAATAAATCAAAATTAATAATAATATAACACGTGTAGGATCAGGATTTCAGGTGAGTAAGTTTTTCTTGACTTCAAAAGCATGTTCCACCAAAAAAAAAATTAATAATAATATAACAGAGTGTAAAAAGCCGTTCGAGCCCGAGCCCCTTTTATACAAGGTTATTTTAAAAAAAATTATTTTTAAAACTCAAACCCTTATTTAAATAAGGTCTTCAGACTTGACCCTTATTCGCGGCACTTATTTAAATAGCTACAATAGATTATAATTAAGATATTAAAAATTAAGCTGATCATTATATTAATCAAAGTAATGATTTAAGAGTCAATGACTCAATCAAAGTCAAATCAGGATCAAATCGGCAATGAATAAAATAATAAATTTTAATTAAAATATATAAAACATATAATTTAAATAAAAAAGATATTAATCCTCAAAACATTAATAAAATAGATAAAAAAATCCAAATAACTGAGAGGCAAGAAAAATTGAAAATAAAAAATATTTTAATTATCAGAATATATTCACAAAGTTAAGGAAAAGGAGATTGGTGTGTAGATAATATTTTAAATATTAATTTTTAAAAACTTTGAAAAATAAAAAACCACAGCTAAAAAAAGTGAAGAAGCGTGCATTAGTTGGCATGAGAGGTCAGTCACAACGCTATTAATGCCATGTTTTCAAAAAAGTTCATTAGCAAAGAAAGGAGAGAAACAGAAACGAGAAGCAGTCATTGCCATGTCTCTCCTCTTATTCTCTTCACATTTCCTACCATTTCGCCTATTCTTATTTCCTCTTAGCTTTCATCCAAAAAGAAAAGAAAAGAAACGACAAGCGGAGATGACACTGGAGAGGGGATGACCAAACAGCAAAGCAGCTCAATGACAAAGAAGCAGCTCAACGGCAAGGCAAACTTCTGCTTTACCGAGGCTGATAGCAAGGAGAGATAGAGACTCGAGATCAACAGCAAGAAGAGATGGAAACTTGAGGTCGACAGTGAGGCTGAAGACACGATTAATAGCCAGGCTAAGGATTCATCTATATTTTATATCAATGTTTTCAAAATCGAATTGGATATTGAATCGAAAAGATTAGCGATTTACGGTTTGCATGGTCCAACTTGGTTGGACTAATGCTCAAATCGGTGACTAATAATTAAATTAAAAAATTATATATATATATAATAATTTAAATATAAAAAACAAATATGAAATTACTACTTAACTTAAAAAAATTAAATATTTTAAGCTTATTATGATTTAATAAACCACACAATACAATATAACATCAAATGATTAAAAAAATTGATCATTTTCTAGAAAAATTTGACAAAAAAAGAGGCATTTTTTGAATAGTCGATTTTTGAAATCCAGAATTAGTTCTTGGCTTGATTTCAGTTTTCATTTCGATCGCTAGTTCAAAGCAACCCAATCAGGCCTAACTCTCCAAACGATTTTTTGGCTTGACCAAATTGTTAGCTTGATCGGTTGACGGTTCGACCAATCTGATCGTCCGATTTAGTTTGATTTTTAAATCATTGTTTTAGATTCAGGCATTCAAGTTTCATGTTAAAAAAAAAAAACCAAAAACTACATCCTTGGGGTTATTCTAGGCAAAAAATATAACTTGACTAACCCATTGGGTTATATCAAATCAACCCCAAGTTGATTGGGTTATTTTAGGTCAGCTTCAAAACAATTTAAATGAAAAACCGAACTCATCAAATTGTCAATTTATAAAGTATCAATTAAATTGGCTGGCATGGTTCAATTTTTTATACCATGATATAATTTTGTTTGCTCTATGAGTTTAAGAAAATTAAGTTATGCACTGAAAATATGCAAGGAATCATGAATATTCATGACATTAATTATTCAAGCTACAATATTATTTAAGATGCCAAGGGTTAATATGAAAATTGGGGGTTTTTTTTTTTATGAGCATGTATGTAAATGGTAAACGTTTTTTTTTGGTAAAAAAGAAATCTTATTAGTTTTCATTATAGCTTTCTGCCTTTCCATTTTATTACCAAAAAAAAAAAAACTTTGTCATAATAATAAAATCTTTATAAATTATCTAAAATTCCAAAGGTAGAAACTCAACAAAGAATAAGACCATTTATTTCACCCAAAAAAACGAGCCAACATGAATTCGGTAGATGAATTGATTGGGTAATTGGATTCACTTTATATTTACCTAAGACTGCATAAAGAATGAACGAGATAAGATTTCAATCTAACTTAAAATTTATTTTTTTTTGTAAAAAAGATTGAGCTAAGCAATCCATAATCTATTATAATTTAGGCTAAATTGGAAGTCATTTAAGGCTGAACTTAATCTATAAAATTAAGAGACTGATTACAGTAGTTCAATATCTCACTTTTTTTTCTTTTTTCTCGTTGCTCTATAAGAGGCAATAATTTATTTTAATTTTGTAAACACTTAAGACAACAAAAATACTTATATGAAATTTATCACAAAACATTAAAAGCTAATCATAATAACTTGATTGATTTTATCACATTATAATTATAATTATATTAAAAATAATTATTAATATATTAAAATAATTTTATAAAGTCGGACTAAACAAAAAGGTTTGAAAGCCTGTTTTCTTATCCAAAATTTTCAATCTTTCGAGTCATTTTTTTTTCAAGACTAAACTAAATTGGATTTGTCTGGATTGGACTAGATTGTATGGAGGACTTTTGCAGTCTTAATCTACCATGATCGGCACTAGGGCTTAAACAGGAATGAAGAAGGAGTAATAGAGACGGTGAATCCAAGTGAAGGGAATTTTGGGTTCAAATTTGGGAGGCAACCAGGGAAAGAAAACGGCTCTATTTGGGGTGGTTGTTGATTTGTCTCCTCTAGGTCTCTCCTGCGTCTCTTTCTCCTTTTATCACTGACTCTTCAGTTGCATCTCTTGTTGGTGTTTTGGTTGCCAATGATTCTTCTTCGTTGCTTTCTCGTGTCATCGTCAGGGTGGAATGGAGAATCACATGAGATGGAGTGATTAGAACTCAATAAACAATGTGAAGACCATGGCATCGACTTGACAATTTTTTTTCAGGAAAAATAATAGAAAAGTCCCAAAATGATCAATTAATTCGAGTTAAATTTCACATACTAAATTTTAACAATTGTTAGAATTTAAAAAATAAGTTATAAATCTATTACAACACAATTATAAAATTAAAAGAATGAATTGTAAATTTATAGGATTTGACACTTGAGACCTAACTTAAATTAATTAATTTTTTTAAAACTTTTTTATCATTTTTCCTTTTTTCATGTACATCATAATAAACGTGCCACCTCAATTTCATTGACAACTTTGTTGCCACGTCAGCACATGGAGGATTGATTCACAAATATTTAAAAAAAATTAGGAGTAACCTAGGAACAACTGAAAATTTTATGGTTCGATTCAAAATTTCCAAGCCAGCTAAATTATAAAATAAAAACTGATAATAATAGTAAATTTTGATGATCCTCTGCGTTGCCATAAAATCAAAAGTGACTCTGTTTCCGGCTTCCTTTCTTTTTAATATTAAAAAGATATTAATAAAATCTCATTTTTAACAATATGTTACATTTTGATATGCCTAATCTCCTCGAAAACTGGATTATAAATTAGGATATGAGTAGTAAAAATTTTAATTCAATCTTTTAATAAAATTTCTCTAACTCTAATATTGCTAGTATCAAATAATATTTTTTGTAATAATCATTATTATTTTAAAAGTTAAACTTAACATATCATCATTTAAAAATGTTTTATTAACATTTAAAAGTTCAAGGTTAGCATCTTTAGTCAATAAAACTGTTAGGATTATATGACTAAAAATAGACACTTTAAAATTAAAAGATCAAAATAAATCCTTACATCAAATGTGCACTTAAAAAATAAAATAAAAAGAAATACCAAAATTTTAACCAAAAGTCATTATTTCAATTAGTCTAGAATATTGGCCAAAGTAAATAGTTAGTCTAGAATATAAATTCCCGTGTTCTAACTTCTGACAACTAAACCAAACAGTATAGGAAATAATAAAATTTTCACATACAAAAATAACTCATTTCTGTGAACCCCACAGGAACATTCCGTTTCCTGGCAGGAACCAGCAATCTAGTAACTTCTACCCCAGTAAGTCCATTTCTTGGCCGGCTTTCCTGATGCAAAGCACTTGGCACCTGAGCAAACAAACCAATGACGTTTTAATTAGCAAGCAACATAATATAAACTGCAATTGATTTCAATTAGCAACTTATGTGCAGTTGCTCATATCGCAAATATAGTTGCACGACAATGAACATCAGTTAGCTGAATCACAATCTTTTGGCTGCATGAAACTACAATGGCAACAAAAATAAAAAGGGTACCATTTTTACTGAGAATTCAATTGTCAATTCAAACACTCAGCATAGAGAGTAAAGGAATCTCCACTAAAATGCAAGGTAGCCAGCAACCACTTTAGCTCCAAATATGACAAATGAAAAAATATGTATTTGCAGCAAGAAGTAAGAACTGAATCCGCATTCAAGATCAACATTAAAGTCAACAATCAGTTATCAGATATCTGACAAGTGTGAAGGACCTGAATTGGTAAATTCCAGTCCTTATAACCATGGTAGTCAAATGAAGAATCAGAAGACCTTTCAAATTGTGAGGTTTGGTAACAAAATAGATTTTTATAAACATATAAATCTCAAATGGGAATGAAAGCCCAGGCGTGTTGTTAGCATATGAAGCAATGAAGGAATTTATGACAAACATATACAAAAATACCAATTTATAAATGTCGTCATTTAAAGTCAACGGCAAATATACGCACATAGACACGGATGAGAGTAATCTTACCTTCAGGGAGTTCTGGTTGATCAAAGGGACTACAAAGCGTCTTAGCTGCTCCCATCTCACCCCTTGTCCTTGCTTTCACATCAACTTCCACGGGCTAGGGAATAATTAGTGTTACTCAGGAAAACAAAACTCCAGATACAAAGTGCTGGAAATAAGAGCTGTACAGACTATTACATATAAAATTTAATTCTGGGATAAAAGCAATGGATAACTGATATCGAGGAAAACTACAAGACACGGTATACACACACACACACACAGAATTCTTTATATATATGTCCAAATGAAAGGGGAAAGTAATTTCAAATTCAAAACAAAATCAACCTTTCTTAGATAAGCACTCCCTTCGGTCTTTAGTCGAGGAATTTGTTCTGATTCTAAATATAAGACATTAATCTTCTTTGTTTTCCAAATTTATGATTTCCCCCAAACTACCCCTATTGATTGCACACATTAATGTGCATAATTAATGAGGATAATTTCTAATGTAAATGATTAAAAGGAAGGGGGTTTTAAGAAAACCAGCACACATTTTTTACAAATAACTAATTTAATTAATTTTCTTAATCTCAGAATTAGTTATTTAGTTCCTACATTTAGAACCTGAGGGAATATTGATAAAGAAAAATCATATAAACAGGACACAATCGGTGACAGGAATCAAACATACAGCCGACTAACATCAGAAACTGACTACATTCTGACAACAATGGTTATTTTTACAGTGTCTTACAGAAGACTCTAACAGAAAGAAGATGCATGTCATTATATTTCCTTTCTAAGGCACGGACTAGAAAATAATTTCTTACACCCGGCAACTCTCATCATCGAAAACTACTATCGGGATTCAGATCTAATACGGAATACTGCGTCCCTAGTCTCTATCATCAATTACAAATTTCTCTAAGAGAAAGATTATGACAACTGTAGCTATTGTAAAAGATTCTACATAACAAAGCATTCTCATTTGGAAGCCTTCTGGAGACAGGCAACCATAATATTGTAAGCATATCATCTTCACACCTATTGCATCATCAAGACATCAACTCAGATTCTCAAACAAGTCAAAATAATCTAGTTTAAAGAAAGTCTAAAGACAGGAAAATTAACTTCAAAACGTTTTGCATCAGACAGCTAGCGCGATGTCCCCAGAAGAAAAATACTTCAACCAGAGAACAGGTTTCCTCTATACCAATAACAACTTTTTCCATGATAAAGGACTTGCTAACATGAACTAAATGCGTGAATAAAAAGAATACAATAATTATTACATTTACATGTACTTGATAATACCCGTTGACATTTGATGAAGTATTAATCGGAAGCAAATAAAGCAACTGAAATTGTCTAAGGATTTGGCCCAATTTAATACTCGACTATTTATCAAACTACTGCTAACAAAGCTAGGCCTTCTATGAGCACCCAAAGAAGGGAAGTTTCAACTTCTTCCTAACCCCTCAATAATCCTTTAATAAATTTTCCTGTAAATCTTCATCGGATGTTCCCAAATGGACTCCTGTGATAACTTTATCATATGATAAATTCATCAATGCAAATTTATTCATGACCGATTGCTTTAACAGTCTATTTGATTCCACGAAAAGGAGGGGCAGAAGGAATTTTAATGGAGAAGAGGGGAGGCGAACAAATAAGAGGTTAACAACACCCCTACCTAAGTTAATTATTTTCTTTTTCTCTCTTTTTTCAATAAAAGATTAGTTACATTATAATTCATCCTTTTTCTTGCTTTACAAATGTCACAAATTTCACCTTACATATTACACAAATCTCACATAATGTTTACAATAATTTTTATTAATCTATTTATTTAAAGCAATTATTTGATTTTTCCCCCCTTTTGGGAAGGAAGAGGGTGAGAGAAATTATCCTGGAGCAGTGATAGAGTAGAGACAAAGGTAATGTTGGTGTTGCATGGGTTTTTTAATTATTAAATATGATGGATAGTATGAGAATATTAAAAATTTAAGTTATTTTAATCATAGTACATGAAAGCTGTGGAACTCTCCTATAAAAAACCATTTCGGAGGGGAGGGGTCCCTGCTCTCCAAAAGCTCCCAGCCAAACATTATATAAGTGAATAGGAAGATAAATTTTATGAAGAAAACAAGTTTTGATAATGCAAGACAAGGCAAATCTTGGGAAGATTCAACATCACATGAAATTCAAACCCAGACTACTTTCACACAATCCATACCTCCTCATCACACCAAGGAGCCAAGATCATTTTCCGTTGGCTCAATGCTTCCACAAATTCATCCCAAGTATGCACGACCTGAATGCATGCATCTCGTTTTTGTTTGGCCACATCAAATAGGTTTTGTTGAATATTGTGCAGCAAGTATTTGACTTGGTTGACCAAATCTTCCCTGGGTATGTCTATTTTTTCCGTATTATCACGTCGAACAGCACGCACCTGAGCATTATCTGAAGATTGTGAATAGCTGTTCATTGACAAACTGACAAGTGACAGCATAGAAGAAAGATTACACAAAGAATTTATTAATGATAAGAAGAGCTTGGTGACCTGCTTATTTGCCAAATCCTTTGGCCCGATTTCTATCCTTAGGGGAACACCTTTCATTTCCCAGTGTGAATACTTCCAACCAGGAGAATAGTTGTCTCTAAAGTCTGACTCAGCACGAATACCTGCTTCACACAAAGTATTCACGGTGGCAGAGCAGGCATCAAGAATACCTTGAGTATCAGCATCTTTATAAGGCACTGGAATCACAATAACTTGCACTGATGCTACTTTAGGTGGCAGTACAAGCCCTTTGTCATCCCCATGAACCATCACCATCACCCCAATCTGTAAAAAAGACAAGAAATATAAACAATTCCTGCTGTATAAGAGTTCTTGAATGCAACTATATTATTGAAATCAAAGCTTACAGTTCGAGTGCTATAGGCCCATGAGTTCTGCCAGGCCATTGCTTTCTCTCCCTTCTCATTTTCAAAATTTATCTCAAACATCTTAGCAAAATTTTGGCCAAGACAATGAGAAGTTGCACCTTGTATACCACGACCAGTGTTCGGAATAAATGCCTAGTATATGGTACATTGCAATTATATTAACAAAACTTCACCATTTAAATAATATCACTCATCATGCAAGGAAGTCAGATATGTACCTCAACACTAGTGGTATAAAGTCCACCGGCAAACTTCTCCAGCTCACTTTTCTTACCCTTTATGACAGGAATTGCCAGATATTCTTCATATATACGCCTATACAACTCCAATACCTCAAGGACCTGAAAAGGATCGATTTAGTATATTTTGAAAACAAAAATGTTCAGAAGAAGAAGCTTATGAAATACAATGCTCATGCATTAATTGTATGAGAGCATTAATATTAGTATTTAGTAGAAAAGCCTTTTCTTTGAGGGGAAAAAGAATGAAGGTTTAAAATCATTACTGTCAGTCTGTCAATCATGGCATGTAATGTAATTAGTTAAACTAAAATTAGCCCATATTCCCATTAGTTTGATGTAAACTAGATTGGTCCATTCCCAAATTTAATTGAGATATATCAAACTCATTAAAAAAATTAGTATCTTCTCATTGTTGTACTACATATAACTATTAAGTTCCCAACGCAAATATAGTTCTGCTAGCAAAACATGAACAAGCTTGGACTTGATTAAGAAAATAATATTTATTCATGTTTGTCTTTGCCTATATATTGTTTACAACCCTACCAATCATAAACCTACTACGCTTTCAACAGATGTGCAATTTCTTAATTCAACATTCATAACCACATAAGCTGGCAATTTATTTGGCAGTATAACAATGTTTACTTTACATTATCTTCAGGATTCAAATGAACTAGAACAAAACATGGGCATAAGAACTCCAGTTCATTAATATCCCAACCTTAATGCAGAGCATGAACTGTTATGCTCAAGTTCCCCAGACAATACTCTCCAGGAATTGGACCCGGATGCGAAGTATAATAAAAAATGGGAATGATATTTAACTTTGATTTAAACTGTATCTCCAAGAATTTAACCCCAATTTTAACATATTTGGCTAGACTTTCAAGAAATTTATATTAATTATTTAGAACTAGCCCTATATTGGCTCCATCAATATGAAATCTGATGCAGATCACTTGCACCAAATGCAGAAAACAAGCTCAAGTATAATAAAACCTTGCCACCTAACAACCAGAGAGAAAGAAAGAGAATATATTATAACACACACAAATTAGGCTAAAAGAACAAAGGAAATTATTAGCAATGATCAGATAGTAGCCAAGGAGATAGAAAAGTATTTTAAAAAATCAGAACTTAGTTCTTCTTTAATATATGTGGGTACAAAAAATAATATAATTATTTCAGCTAGAATAAACATGAGACCAAAACAACAATTCAATATCAAATCTAAAATCATTGATGTAATAACAGCATCACACCTCTGCATCAGCCTCCTCCTTTGTTGCAAAAGCAGTATGCCCTTCCTGCCAAAGAAACTCACGGCTCCTGCAACCAAAAGAAGTATTGAGACCAGATAAACACTATAAATTATCTTCTTTGACAAAACGAATCCTACAAATTTATCTTAATGATAGCCACTGATTGTGAGAGCAAATTATACAACAATGTTCAACTTATCACATTCCTATCATTTTTACAAAACCTAAGATTCAACAGAATATTAACGACTTTTGTTTTGCAAAACCACTTCACTATGACCAATTCACTATTTATGAGACTTCCACTAAAAGAGGAAAGGATAATCAGATCGTGATTAAAAGGAACTACAGGGAACATGCTAAAGTTTGATATTCCAAGGTGAGTCATCTTGTTTATGTTTGAAAGTGTGCATTAATTCTCACACACAAGAATGCACTGGCTACCTGGCACATTAAGACACAGCATATGAGAAAAGGAAACGATGTGATAGAAAGCCATGTAATACCTGATAAATGGTGTGGGATTGCTGAACTCCCATCTAACCACATTGCACCATTGATTGAGTTTCAAAGGCAAATCACGATGTCCCCTTATCCACTTAGAGTAGTATGGATACATGACAGTTTCACTAGTCGGGCGAATAGCTATAGGAACCTCTAGATCAGTTTCCCCAGACTTTGTCACCCAAGCAACCTGGAAAAAAAAAAGAAACCAATTTCTCCAATATTGACTCTGAACTGAAAATACACTTCTAGAAGGCAATCCAATTTCTCCATACAACAACAACAACAACAACAAGCCTTTATCCCACTAGGTGGGGTCGGCTACATGGATTGCAAGACGCCATTGTGCTCTATCATTTATTAAGCTTTTAGAAATATTATTAATTAAGAGATCACGTTCAACAACTTCCAAGAGTGTTCTCTTAGGCCTTCCTCTACCTCTCTTAATCGGACTCAAAGTTATATGTTCCACTCTTCTCACTGGTGCCTCCCTTGGTCTTCTTTGTACATGCCCAAACCATCTCAACCGATTTTCTACCATTTTTTCCTCAATAGGTGCCACCCTCACTTTTTCACGTATGTGCTCATTTCGAATTTTATCTTTACGTGTATGTCCGCACATCCATCGTAACATTCTCATCTCTGCTACTCCAACTTTATGCTCTTGCTGTCCCGTTAGAGCCCAACATTCACTACTATATAACATTGCCGGTCTGATAGCAGTATGATAAAACTTTCCTTTAAGTTTATTAGGCACCTTACGGTCACAAATAACTCCTTTAGCTTTTCTCCAATTTCTCCATAAACAAGACAAATCCTTACTAACTTAACAAAACTAAATGACCATAAATGATAAATAGACCTTGTACATTATCCAAAAAGAAAATAACATTTCACCTCTGGTGCAAAGCCCTCAACATGATCCTTCTCCTTTTGCAAAACGCCATGAGACACAAATAAAGGGAAGTAGCAGTTCTTGACTTTCATTTTCTTTAATTCGGCATCAAAGAAGGCCTGCACATTGATTTTATAAATTTAAACTTTTAAAACACATGACTTTAAGTAACCTGAAATCCGGAAAGCTAAGAACCAGAGTTTAAAGAACACATGTTTCAAGAACCAGAGTTTCTTCCAAAAGTTAAACCTACACCTAACAAAAGCTTCTTGAAACTATATGTGTAACTAATATAAGGTGTAGTAATGGAAAACGAACATGAAAAGAATTTATGAACTCACTTGCATGACCTCCCAGATTGACATTGCCCACGGCCTAAGAATGTAACATCCAGAAATGTCATAGTACTCAATCATTTCCCCATTGACAACTACCTGGAACGTCAGCTCACAAGAAATTTTTTTAGGAAAAGCCTGGCAAATATCTTGTCACAGGATTTTACCCAATAGCTAAAGTCAAACCTCGGACAGCGTAAACAACAGTGTGCTCGTTTTGCTCAGATTCAGTTTCGGCATTAATCATTAGAATTATCAAATTTCCACAAATATACAGCTACTGCGATTGTTCACGATTTGCTAAGCTCCTCATAATTTTTTTTTTTTTAAATCAGATCAAGATGGAGCGGTTGGCCTTGATACATAATCAAAAGCTAATTAGTGATAATTTGAAACAGGTACCTCGGAGTACCACTCCCCAAAATTGTCTGCCTTTCGATTTGAAAGCCCTAAACCTGTCTCTTTCTTCACCTCTTTCTTCTTTCCACCTGTGAAGTCAGTGATAGGAAACACGAACAACTCACAATTAGGCACTAAAATGTGGAAACAATCATAAGGTACAAACAGTAACCACCAGATTGTTTTGCAGTGGGCTTCTTAGCTTCAGCTCCGGCCATCCTGGTTCTCCACCTAGACGAACAGACTATTGCAGATCAAGTTTATCATACTAGTGATAGTAATACTTATCAAGATAAACATCTGAACCGAGACGCGACCACAATCCTAGTTACCTGTTACAAATATGCCGGAGGGGAAGCAAATGGCGGTCAAGGAAACGAGCGAACACGATTGCAATTGTGGTGTCACTTGTCTCAAAGCCAAGAAGTCAAGAATGCTCACTCGCTCGCTTCCCGAATTCGGCGGCTGGATTGAGAACCAACGCGCACCCTTTATTTTAGGGAGAAATACAAATAGGTTAATTAATTATTACAAGTCCATTAACATCTGAATTAAATTGTCTTTATGTGAGACTTCAACATCGTTCTCCCTTCATTTTTTTAAGGAGTGACACCCTGTTGTTAGCGAGATCATTAGGTGCCAGCTCATCTAACTCTGTCCAATAAAATCAGTCCAGCTCAGATAAAGTGGGCCCTACTCCTACAGTTTCTTTGATAACTTTAAAATTCATGATCCAATCTTAACAAGCTTCTCGTCTTGGCGACTATGTTTCCCAGGAGTTCTTTTCTCTTGTCTTTTTCAGAACCCAGGACCAGGAGTTTCAGACTAGGAAGATCCCTCTTCTTACTTATTCCGAACTCTAGATGGACGAATCATATTCCCCACCCAGGGGCTTCGAGTTGTTTTTGAAAGATTGCTACAAAAACAAAGAAGGCACGACACTAATAAAAAGAGTGTAAACAAAGGGGTATTGCCAAATTGATATTCCGATTATGGGTCCAAAACAAGCAGGTATTTAAATCTTGTATGTAGGCATTGCATGTCTGGTATGGCTTTCCTTACAATTTTTTTTAATATTCCAATAAAATGAATAGCACCTACAAATACAAATAGTAATGTTGACTACATATATTGATGATTGAGACTCATGATTTATCATGTACCGATGATTTATCGATATTGACTATATATATTGATGATTAAGACTCATGATTTATCATGTACCAATAAAAAAGACTCATGATTTATCGATATTGATACGTTACTCGTGATTTGTTGACATTCTGGTTCTGGGTCCCAAACAAACGGATGTTAACTCTCATAGGCAAAGCATGTCTAGTAAGCTTTCCTTGCATATTTTTATATATATTGCAAGAAAATAAATCGCGCCTACGAATAGTAATATTTACCATATACATTGATTAAGACTCATAATTCATTGATGTCGACACGTTGATTTCCTTGATAAAGCGAATAAAATATACACTTAGGACTTGCAGAGTTGAACATCTTCTAGTTTAGCTGTGAACACACCTGGCCTCTGCTGTCAAATCGGAAAATGTAACGAGCTTTTAAGAAATTCAATTTTTTATGTTAAAAAAGCCATCAATAAAGCTATAAATATAAATAAACTGAAATCCTTTATTGCTTTATGATAAAAATCGAAGTCTTATAAATTAGGGGGGGGGGGAACTTTTTCTCAGTCCGAGTCGCAGCCATGGAAAAAAAGATTGGTTACAATGGTACAGATGTACTTTGGAGATGAACAAAATCTTCGGGAGGTGGATCAAGAAGAGAGTTTAGGAGACATGACATTTGAAAATCAACATGACATTTCATAAATCATCTAAACAAGGTTCCTCCTCACCAGCAACAGAAATCATAGAAAACGAAAGGCCCGCTGATGGGAAGATGCGGCTCCCAAGACCCTCTGGAGGGAAGGGGTAATTGAACCCCATAGACCTACCCAGCAGATTGATCAACCAACTTCTGGCGGTACCACTTTCAAACTTTTCATCCACTCGCAGAAACTAGGATCATCAAAGTGAAGGAAACTGCTTTTTAGCTTTGTCCGTTGCTCTGGTGTCAATGACCTGAGTTGTGGGAATCTTGCCTCCTGAAAAAATTTAAAATCATCCCGCATGTAAATTAGGGACAAAATCGTTATCTTGTTTAATTTGGATCAGTCCTTGAGATATATTAATGGGAACTTCCAAGCAGAGGCAATCACTGAGACAAACATTTTCAAGTAATCAACGAAAATAACATGTTACTTGCCTGCTCATAAGGAGGATCCTTGTGTGCTGGGATGAGACGAGAAACGAAATATCGAGCCTGTGAGCTACCCTCCTGTTTCAAATGTAAATTAGCTGTCACAAGTTACCATCTGAGCAGGAGATTAAAAAGGGAGATATGCAGGGAAGAACACGTGAAATATGAACTGAGAAGAAAACCAACCCTAAATGCAAGGATACGAGGAGCTGGAAAACGCAATTCAGTAAGCTCCTCAGCCAAAGTCCGGCAAGCGGCTAAAGCAGCAGCACTTCTCCCTTCATCAGCTGCTAGGTCAGCGCCCTAAGATACGATAATTAAAATTTTCATTTTAAGAAATGATTGGCTTACAATAATCAAGATAGGCATTTTTTGAAGAGTACTAACTTACAAGCTTGAAGACATAAGATATAACATTTATATGTGCTTGAAGGATCAATCAAAGGATTTGTGGTCAGACCAGAGAACATAATATATGTTTCAAGTTTCAACAGCAATCCCTCCCCAGGTGCAGGCAACCCAAACCTTACTTTTTGCAATAATACAGGTCCAGTGCCAGCTGGGCTAGGGACAGAAAACAAATTTACCAGACCCAATATGGTTTCTGGAATCTATATTCTATAATAAAATGATCTTTCACTTTCAAGTCCATTAACATAAAGAATTCAGTCTTACTCAATCTAATTTCAGAATGCCAACTGGAGCTTCAGAAGAATCATATGGGAAAATCATTTGCCAGCACAACTTCCAAAGGAATGGAGGACAAGTGCAGTAACTAAATTTAACAACGTTAGAACGATAACAACCCCCCCAAAAAAAAAAAAAAAACCCAAGGGGAAAAACAAAGAAAGATGAAAGAAAAGCCGAAAGAGAAAAGATAAAGTAGATTATGAGCAATGAATCTGCAATCATTGTCCAACCAAAACATCACTCGGAAATAGAAAGAGAATACTAGGTGGCTTACCAACCAAATGAAGACATCAGTGCCATGATCAAGAACAACAGCAGCATCAGACTGCATGGCAAGATCATAAGCTGGTAGCTCTTCAAAAGTCCCCCCCTCCCGGTGCATTAAACAGCGAGGAGCAACCATTCGGAGTGACAGATCAAATGATGCATTTAAAAGCAGGCTTCGCAGCACAGACCTCTCATCTTCATGACCAATAATGCTTCCCAATAGTGGCCCTCTTTTGAGATGGAAAAGGAGCTCAGGTAAGAGTGACAACTCCTTTGGGAAACGATAAAGTTTTGACTTGGGTAATTGGGAGCCAAATTTCATAGCAATGTCATTGATTCTTTCATCTACTGTGGCTCGCATGTCAATTGCATCAGAATAGGTTTTTGCACGTAGAATTGTCCTCTTTGCAATGAGGACTGCCGCCACTTCATCTTGAACACTCTCAAGATATCCTGAAATACTATCTACGGTTGGCAGCCTAACAGTAATCACCCTTGACACATCAGCTTGATAGACATTTGAATACAGAATTGCAAACTGGAAAAACACGCTATCACTTTTGATATCTCCTTTAGTTTCCATGGATATAGAGAAGCTTTGAGTTTCTTCCACACTCAGCATCTGAATATAAAGTGCACTGTCATTTTTAAAGAATTCATGGGTGTCCACATGTGCCTCTTCACCAGGACCCACAACTTGGGTTATAAGAATATCATCTGATGTGCGTAATTCCAACAAACCATGGGAACCTGCTGCCCTTGCAGATGCCCTTTGCAAATTAACACCAAAGGCTTCCCCAAAATCATCATGGAGAACCAAAACACCACCCGATGCTTTTGCAAGAGGCTGCAAAATAGGAACTCTGACAGGGCATGTTCCAGCACATAAAATGTCAACCACAGTATTATGACTATGAGCCACATGACCTAGATTTTCCATCCATTTCAATGCGGTCTTTTCCATGTGAGGATAATTAGGGTGACTGAAAGAGTGAGGAACAGATCCAGCGCCATAAGTGTTGGGTCCACCAGCACAGACAATAATTCTGCTGTAGCCCCCTGACCTTTTGACTACCCCTCGGGACAGTTCTGCAGAAGGTCCCTGAATTACAGCAAGAGCAACCTCAACAGCAGTACCCAGACACCGATCCCTAGAAGCTTCAGGCATGTTCAACTTGTATGGCCTCAATGATGAGAATATGGAATGTGCTACAGGAAGTGAGGCATGCATTGGTGACAAGTATATACCAGTACCATAAATCAATGCCTTCAAAGATTCTTGAGTTGGTGATTTGTCCCCAGGAAGCACATCAGCTGATGCAACTGACTCCTCCGAAAAGTCATAAACCGACACAGTGCGACCATAGAGTATAATGCCTATCCTTGTTGTAGGGGAGAGTGAGTCAACAAAAGCATGCAATGAGCTCTGTAGATGGTGTAGGTGAGGTTCATCTAAGCACTCATCTATCACAAGAACAACTGGTGCAGTCATTCTTGAATCTGAAACTGGAACAAAACCAGGTCTCTTATTCCCAGTTTGCACATAATCAACCATGGGTGATGAAAGTTCTGGAAATCTGCGAAGGTCTTCCTTGCTGGAAGCAACATATTCGCTATCACTTCCATTCAGTTTCCGACATATTACACATTGCCACTGGCCTGATCCAATCAATATGTTGCAATAAATATTTGCATACGCTCCACAGCTTTGGCAGCGATGGGGATCACGCTGAATTACTTGAGGGCCTGCCGGGACTTCCTTTCCAGGAGAGACTAATGCCCCAAAACCTAAACTGGGTACGTTTGCTAGTTTTTTCTGCTTCAATACCTACTTGATATATGAAAAGGAAAAGGTCAAACCAAACAATGCGTCTTAAATTTGTGCATGAAAAATCGCAAACTGCTTAGCTGCACTTATTTTACCAATCACAGAAAATACATAATAGTTAAATATTCAATGTATGGCAGAATAAATTGTATCAGACTATTAGTCACACACCAAATTTAGGTGCTTGAGAAACAGATATATTTCAATATCAAAAACAACTCCATATTAAAAATATAATATACAGAAATATACCTTATGGGCCGAGAAAAGAACAAATGAAGATTCTCCAACGGGAGCTTGGTCTTCTGTAACATCGGAAACTTGGTGCTGCAGCTCAAAAGATCCATTTGAAAATTGCGATGACAATGATGTTGGCAAAGATGAGCCTGAAGATAAAGCAACTGGCTGAGGTGATGCAGGTGATGAGCGAAAAGGAACAGCAGCAGGACGGACAGGTTTAG